GGGATTCACCTACTGCCCGTCCAGACAGCCAGGTGCTCACGTGGGAAAAAGTCATCTTCCTTCTGAATTGCAGAGCTTTTTTGAAACGAGATCTCTCCGAGAGACTCGCGTCAGCTGCAGCTCAATCGGTAAGGAACCTAGTGAGCCACTCGCGAGCGCGCTCGCCATCCCTTGACTGGCCAGACTGTTGGTACAGGTAACAACGGTCGCAGCAAGGGCTTCCCCAACAACAACAGCAGCGGCAGCCGCAGCGGCAGCGCAGTGGCGGCGAGAACGACATTCGCTGCCACGGTGCGCTCGCCAGATCCGAGTGACTGAGTGGGATTACTCGTCTTGGTTAGTTGTTTGTCGGAACAAGAGTCCCGATGGTCACATGCTGAATCATGGGCGCTGCGGCCGAGCGTCGATCAGGAAGACCCTCGAGAGAGGGACACGCTCACCCTGGGGGGCGACGCAGCTCTGTCTCGTGAAATGTGCCAGATCAGGGCACGACATTAGGAAACGCTTACCCCAGCGACAGTGTGCCGAACATCGACCATCCGAACGAACATCGATGCTCCTGAGTTCGTCCTACGGAATTTCGCGAACGGTAACGCCGATTGAGTGAAACTCAAACGAGGAAAACACGGTCGGCGTGTCTATGGAGATATCTCCACGACCAGCACAGATAGTAGCGGAGGCCAAAGGTAGAACTGAACGCGGATGACGTCGCCGCTGTCGTCGTCGTCGTGAGCGTCGTCGTCATCAGTCGAGAGAGATTTCCAGTCTATAACTCGACGAGCGCTCGCCCACCGTCGGACTCAACGACCGTCGAGTCCATTCTGGTATTTTCCCGATTCCGAGACTCAAGTATTATCAACGGCTCTCTACCGTCTCGACGCCTCGAACGCTTGCCTCTCTTGACCATCCGACGGACCTTCTTCCGGTTTCTCGCAAAACTTGCCCGAGCACGGCAAGGCCCCATCGCCGAGTCGGCCTATATGACGTCCCCCGGGATGAGCGAGCGCGGCATTCGTCGGGTTCCGAGACCAGTAGTTGGATACAAGGTCGGCATCACTCGGAGTCTGCGCTCGAAGCGGGAATGCTCCCAGGTTCGGAACTCCCGAGAACGATAGGGGATCCCGGTGGAGGAAAAATTAGAGACCGAGCTTTGGAGCGCTCTCTGTTTACGAGTATCATCTGGACGCATCTTTCGCGCAAACCCTCTCCCACGCATCAGGAATAATCTATGCGCCGTTACGATCCGTGTCATTGGGCTTTATCTGTCGCAGACCGAGTTTTCCACTCATCCTCCTTCCGTTGGTCCGTATCAAGCTCAATTGAGCTCCACTGAATAGGGGAGCCCTTGGAAATCTGCGCAGATGAGGGACGGTATATCAGTCATTCGATCGATCCACCTTTCTATCTATGAGTCATTCTCTGCGTCCCGGAGCCCTCATCCGAGAGTTCAGCCCTTCACTGCGAGCGGGACGCGCGAAGCCTGAGAGCTCATCTTCCTGCGCTCGCGCACATCCCTGAGCGAGATCCGAGCGGTTGTGGCTCCGAGCGGTACGATCCTTCGACAAGCCAGCTTGTCCCTCGCGAAAGTTTCCGCTTTGCGCTCGGTCTCGGCTCCCACGCGCTTGCCCCACGATCCACTGCGCCCCCCCCCAACTTTCTGGCGCAGAAAACCCTCATTTGTCACAGGTCACCCTAAAAATTTCCGGTTATTCCTCATGCGGTTTTCGCGCTTGCTTCCGACACGGAAATTCCGCGACGTCACCGTATAAACGCGAGAATTTCACTGCATTGTAGAAAACGCTGGGAGAAATTATCTAAGAAATTCACCGCGCGTCACCAAGTCATCGCACTGTGATACTGCACGCGCGGAACTCGGGGAAGCTACGCGAGGTGAGAAGGGGATTTCTTTCGCAGGTCCGCCTCGGTATCGTTGCGAGTCCCAGGACAGATCTCAGCGAGTTCAGCCGAGAACTCGACGAAGAAAATAAATTCAACTCACCTCTCGGAGAGTGTGTTCTCGGACTCCGAATGAATACTCGCGCTGTAGGATTCTTCTCTGCGCACTTATTCCTTGTCGAGTTATTGCTCTGAATGTCACTCGCACTTTACTCTTGACATCGATAAGACATGCTGCTGCTGCTGTTGTTGTTGCGACGCTCGCTCCAACGAGAACAACTTCTCCCCGGAGAATGAAGCGCGTCCTCCTCCTTATTACTCCGCGTCGGAATCGATGAATTGAGCGGTCGAATCTCCGTCGAAAGACAGATATACACCCACGAAATTCTACCTATTGCAGGTTTCCGCTCAGGGTACCACGGGGCGAAGTGTAATCACTCACCGCAATCACAAGCACTACGTGATTCACCTGCCCGAGTTTTCTTCCTCTCTCTTAATCCCAGTGATTTTCCTACATGTTTCAATTCACATAATGCTCTCGTTTATATGACCGTAGACGCATTCGGTATGCTCGTCGTTGCCGTCGCAGCCGCCTCCGTGTCGAACATCATCTGTTTGCGTCTCAGAAAATCTTCTACCGCTCTCTCAGACGGCCAGTCCTCGACGCAGATGAGAATCGCAATTATTGTACTCGAGGTACGGGTTCATCTGATCTCGGATTTCGATCCCACCGAATTCCGATCCCACTTGGACGAATGGAGCAGAGGCGACGACGTCGAAACACAGTGTTCGGTGATCTTGCCACGACCAGTAAGAGTGGAATCCAGACGACGACACACTGTGGTCGGATAGCGATCCTGGTTGCGGTGGTGGCGGATGGGGTCTACTTGCTTTGCAGAGGATCGCGCAGTTCCCGCATTGATTTAGAGCCGGTGGCTCCGTTGATCACTGAGTGAATTTGTTGTTGATTTTTGCAGTCGGATGGCCGACGACGACGGTTGTCCGTGCGTCTTTCTATCTATCCGCTGCCTCCGTCGGTCGCCGCGATGTCTGGCGCCGTTCGAGCTGAATGCGATGGTTCGCTCGCTCGTTCGTTCGTCTGTCCGCTCTTTTCCACTCACTTTCTCACTCGCTCAGCAGCACCGCTGCCGCCACAAGCGGCTACGGCAGGCAGGCAGCAGAGTTCAGCAGCTCGATGATGCCGCCGCCGCTGTGGCCGCGATTATCGCTGGTCGTCGCCGCGGCCGCCAATGTTGTTCCTTCGGCGTAGACAACAACATCGCCGCCGTCGTCATCATCATCGGAGCCGTTGTCGTCGACGTCGGGAGCATCAGCACGTCTTGGTGAGGATTCCCCTCGCCGCTTGCGGCATCGGTGGACATTGCGCCGACGCTGACGCCAGGGTTCTAGTCGAGATTTCTGCGGGACGGGCTTCCTACATTGTGGACCTCCCGAAATGATGATTCATGAGCGCGAGGAGCACTGCAAACGACGACCTCCTTCGGAAACAGTACGTCGGACGTTCCGTGAGCCTCCAACGCTAGCTTGAGGCGACGGTGCTCTATGTCCGGAAGCAGACTGGCGCAGTTCGGGCTCTCCTGGTCCGACAACGTGACGTCACCAGGGGCAGGCAGGAAAGCCCGAAGAGAGGGACTGCCATCGGTGCCACCGCCGCCGCCGCTAGCGCCGAGAAGGAGGGTTCAACCGTGGCTCGACGGTTCTTTAAACCTATTGCCCAAAACTCTCTCTGTGACCTGTGGTTCTGATCGAATTCTTCAAAAACGTCCCGTGAATCGTCTTCTGGATTGTCGCGGTCGCTCGTCCTTGCGATCTCCGAGAGGAATCCCCCATCGAGAGTGGGATGGGAATCGTCGAAGGACGGCCGCGGGGTAGATTTCCTATGGGCAGGTTTCTACGATATAGAGTTTCAAGAACACAGCTCGGAGTGAAGATCCAAATAGCATCGATCCGGGAGAGCAAACGAACGAAGGGAGGGTTTCCCCGAGATCGGCTGGCTGCATGGCTAGCCGACGTACAAGGTTGTCTCCGCGCCCGACTGGCTGGCTGGCGTTCGAGCCTTTCCGAAAAGCCTCAGTCTCCGATCCGGTGTCTCTCCCGCCATTGAGCCGCCTCGCGAGCCGCATTGGACTCCATGGAGACGGATCCGGGTTGGGAACGTGCCGACTCGGGTAGTCTTACGGCGGCAACCTGAGAACCCCTGGAGCTGCTTTGAAGGAGAGGTCTCGGATTGTCCATCGATTCGCCTTACCCCTCGATATTCCGGAATTAAACCCATCTCTGCTGTTCAGCCCCATATGATCTGCTATGGGTAGCAGCATTCGAATACCCGATATTCGTATCCATCAGAAAATTTCTACTGGAATAAATTCTCCGCGATGCGGATCCTTCTAGTGATCTTGGACATTCCACCGCTTATTGAAGTCACGGCGGCCTTTCCCCGCGGCATCCCTGGATATCCTCCAAAAGGACCTCAAAGGTCCTCCTCACATGTCATCGGCCGGCGTGAGAGAGTTCGTTGGCCTGGGGCGCCTCAGAGCTGGGGGCCGGAGTTCCATCGGTCCCAGCTCAGGGAACCTATTCCGACGTTTGCCCGAGGGGAGTCGTAATCAGGGAGCTCCCAGAAAAAACTCGTATCACCTCATTCTCCGTCGGCACAGAGTTGTAATCTGGAACCTCGAACTCAACGACTTTCATTCGTATCCGAGCCAATCTACTTGAGACGTCTAGGCTGCGCAGACGAGTCGACTTCTGCTTGGACCTCAAGTGATATCAGGAGAAGAGCAAGAGATTATTCGTACTCCCTGAAAGTTCCCCACTAGGCTTCCGATGGCCAACTCCACGCGGAAAATATTTCGAGGACAATTTCCTGTGATAAAATCTGATCCTCTAGTACGTTTGGCTCATTACGACGGGCACTACCCTCTCTTCTTTGCTCCGTGCCGACCTGTAAAGCCCACAACATCGAGACGAAGGAGTCTCTGCACGAGAATTCCGTCTCGAGCGGAACACCGAGTTCGTCAAGGTCAGCATCGGAGATTCCGCAGTCCACGGATAATCCCAGGGAACGAAAACGTTTGAATGAAACAATGCATTTATTGGTCACACAGGAGATACCAGTTTACCTACATCGATTTTGTCAAGCTCGTTGCATGCCTATGAACAGCGATCGATAGACTCATTCAGACTGATGGCGGAACGAGTCGATGTCTTCGATTAGTAACCTTCGTTCGTCCAAATGATGTTATCGGGCGGATACTCAGCGAAATGCTTCTTCAGAATATCACACGTATCGGTATGTTTCGCTTGTCCAAGATCGACCGAATAGCCGAAAACTTCGATGCGTTTCTCCTTAGCGTTGTGCAGGATTCTTCCTCCTCCCTGAGGTTCGAGGTCGAATCTGTCATCCCTCTCGATTTCTTTCTGAGCGAGCTCGTAAATGTCCATGTGGTACGAGCACTTTGCCGACCCTCTCACTATGAGTTTCGAATCGTCGGAATTCTTGTCGTGCACTCGGATTAACACATACTTGAAGCGTCCATCATCGATTTTGACGTCCGGGATCGCCTCCATGAAGATCTCTCGCCCAGCAGGATGGTCGGTCAGCGAATCGTGTGGACACGGAGAACAGTATTCGGAAAATGTCACGCTCCGATTCTGAGACCAGTTTTCGAACGATGAACCGTCCTTGCGCGGACCGAGTCCCGAACTCCACGGAGCTCCCGCCGCTAACGTTATGTCCAAAACAAAATGTGAAAATCGATCGTCTTTCAGTGATCGGCGCACGGATGTCCACCGCATATTTATACATATACTAGATACTTCGATTAACCCTCGGACGCGGATTTCGGCGAAGCGTTTTCCGCGACGCGACCGAAAACCGCGCAATTCGACTCGATGCTGAGTGAGAGCTCAGCCGCATCGTTGATGGAAATCACAATCGTCAACAACACGGAGTGGAGGCACAAAAAGAACACCGGCTGATGCGCGCATCTCATCCGCCTGTTCCCCGTGCACTCTGAGAATATCCACGGAAATAAAAGGAATGATTCGCTGACGGTTCCGGCTCCGACTTCCTCGTGTGGGTTCAGATCCGAAGCGGAGCGCGGTGATTCATGGCTGCGCTACTCCGATTGCGGTGGGCGAAGCTCCACGATGGGTCCCTGGTGCGCGAATCCCTCAAACTTGCCGTGGCTCATAAGGTGGGTGACATCGGATCGAATGCTGCCACCTGGTCAGAGATGCAGAATAAGTGTCTCATCTGAGCCCGCGTCGATCGCCATCCTCCGCTCTGGGGGTGGTATCGAGGAGCTGAGTTTCGGTCGGCATTGTGCAATAGTCCCGCCAAACATGTGCTCTGACTTCCAAGCTTCTCGGTTTCTCTGTCGAAAAAGTGTTCACCCACTTTTATCGGTAGCATGAAATGAGATTGATTTTTCTAAATTATCATTGAACCCTGATTGAACCTCGCAGTCCAAACTTGCTGTCAAGAAACTGCCGCCGGATTTCGCACTGGAGCACTTCGACGCTTTCTACCCGAGAGTTTTCGGAGCAACGGAATGGAGGTCGATACGCCTGGCTCTGCTGAGTCAAAAAAAGTACTGCGCTGTAATAAACCCCTTTGCCGAGTCGTCCGAGCTGCACGAGTCAATGAAAAATCTGGGTGCGGAGAGGATTGTCGCGTGAGTAGACAAAGCCGGAGGGGGCGGGGGGCTTATCGGGGAAGGGCATCGTGCAGCGCGTGGAGAAGCTTGAACATCGCTGTTGCTCTTTCCAGGGCGCCACCTGCGTCCAAGGGTTACGAGGAGCCTGAGGTGAACAAGGCGGAAATCCCGAAGCATATTCCCATGATTGAAGAGCAGCTTCCGCAAGAGTTCTTAGACTCTTCGAGAGTCATCAAGGTATTCACGGGGCCGTCTTCCAGTGTGATTCGTTCCGTAGTGGTCGCTTGGGTACCGCATCGTTCGAGAGCTCTACGCGAGAAACTCTCTTCATCTTGCGTTTTCTATTTCCAGAAAGGGCACAGTGAACCTTTGCTCAGTTTCGTTCCTGCGACTGAAATGGTTTACCAAGAAGATGTAGTTCATGAAGAAGACTACTTCAATTTCCTGAAACCTGAGGCTGAGATCATGATGAAAACTCACAAACCGATCCCGTTCCCACCTCTCAGCGTTTACGTCTATCCCGCTTGCTGTGTGTGGGATTTCCCCCCACCACAGGAAAACGGGACAGGGATATTCAATTACTATTTGATGGACGCAGCGTCGCTTTTCCCCGTGATGGCCTTGGACATACAAGAGGGGGACAACTTCGCTGATTTTTGTGCCGCTCCCGGGGGCAAAACGCTCGCTGTCGCATTCTTGGAGAAAACAGGTACAACGGGATCGGATGTAGGGAAGGACCCTACGAACTCAGTTTGAATCGAACGGATCAGATCTTCGGAGCGAGGAGACATCACCGCTTATCGCTTTCAGGCTCTCATCTGTGCACTGATGAATCTCCGAGTCGGGTCCAGCGGCTACGTCGTAGCATCACGTCATATCTCCCAGAAGAGCTGCGGAAATCAATCGCCGTCAAGCACATTGATATGACTCGGATGTCGGATGATATTCTATACGATAAGGTGGCCCAGGATACAAACATTCTTTATTCTCGAATTATCATGCCCACTGGTTATCTGTTATCTCCGGGAGCACTATCGAGGTGGAGGTCGAGTCAAATCGATCTGTCAGTCCGAGATCTCGGAGGATACTGCGTGCTCTTGCCCGATGGCTTGCGGACGATTCTTCATTCGATTATTCGATCCCCCCTCCGTTTCAGATTTTGGTTGATGTACCGTGCACAAACGATCGCCATTCGCTTTTCGAGGAAGATAATAATATTTTCAGAGGGACTCGAATACAGGAACGGCTACACCTTCCGCAAACTCAGTCGGCGATTTTGAAGTGCGTTCAAACATCTTCTTCTCGCCATTGAATTTTCTGGAGAATCTTTCTTCCCGATTCAGGCCGCCCATCTCATCATTCTAATCGCGGAATCAGAAGTCATTCACTTATCCTCGATTGTGACACCCTTCCTTCCATTTGCAGGCAAGCTCTCCGGAAATTGAGGGTTGGAGGAGCTCTGGTTTACTCTACGTGTTCGTTGTCTCCGATTCAGAACGATTCCGTCGTGCACATGAGTGTACAGAGCTTCAAAACTATGAAGTTCGTCGTCACGAATCTCGGACCGTCCTTCGAACCTCTGCGGACGTATTTCCAGCTGCACAAGTGTCGATACGGCCAGCTCGTCCTTCCTTATCTTCCGAACAACTTTGGTCCTATGTACATAAGTCGAATCGATCGAATCCAGTGATCGTCGGTATAGCTATAGCTTACGCTTAGAGCATTGTCGAATACCAACTCTCGTGAATGAAGAATCATACAACGCCCCCGTAGTCATAATTTTTGATCATCCGGAAGGATGTGAGGCGGCCTCTAGAGAACGCTGAGTGGATCAGGCGTATCAGGGCCACGGCAAGCTGCCTGAATATTTCCGAAGAACAGACGCCACGCTCCCAAACATTCTATCAGCGTCTCGTCGTCGCGGCAATACTCGCCCTGCTTTCGCTTGCGGGTCTGCAACTGGGGGAGGAAACTTCCCCAGTTTAAGTTCTAATCGGAGATGCATCTTCGAAACGGCTGTATCCGGATCGTTGTTCGAACACGCGCGAAGAAGTCATCCCATCATATGTAGAATCGTCTTGTCGATTGAGTCACACTCGAGCTCGCCGTGATTACACAAGTTGATCATAGGCTCAGCTCTCCGCCACGCGAGGACTCGGAGTCTCGGGTCGACGATACATCAAGTGAGGGCGATCGATCCCGGCTCTCCGGGTCGGCGCGCCCGAGCTCTACCAAGTCAGGAATTAGGCGAAAAAGTTCCGCAGTGTATTTCTATCAGGATTCAACAAAGCTCGCATCGTTCCGATTTCCTCAGGACGAAATCGGATATGAAATTTTCTCTCCTGATCCTCTTGCTCCTTTGTGAAGCGTGAGTCATCCCAGTGAGTAAACTGAATATAATGGCGCATGTCCGAACCTCTTCGATATCTTTTGCAATGACTCACTCTAGAACTTCATCCAACTCGACTCGAGAACGAGAGAAGCGGCTGCGCCAGAGAATTCTCGACCTGTTGAAGCCGACCCACGAACTAGATCTCGGTAAGGTTATTTGGAGAAGCGCGAGCGTGGTCATCCTCGAGGACTACTCGTCGCGTTTCGATACGATTTCCATTCGAATACGTTGATAAGTAATCACGAAGTTCGTGCCTTGATGAAGATTATCCCCCGAATTAAGAAAGAGGGACACTAAACGTAAGCGTGGACATCATCATCGACTCAGTGACCGACCTCAAAATACTTCGGATGGTACGTCCCCCGCCCGAGAGACTCTTCCAAACATAGAATCTTCCTCCACCGTGGGGACTTGAGAGCTGCGACTCCGGAAAGCTCCCTCTTGCAGGAGTATGAGGTCAGGTTGAGGCTCTTTCTTACCTGGGAACTCAATGGCGACACGCCGGAAATTCGGCGGAAAATCTGGAGGCTGAATCAGTGGGAGCCAGTCGTCTGTCTGTGGATCAGGGTCACGTCGTCCTCGCCACGGACGATGTGAGGATGGATCCTGAGAAATTCTATCTATGTAGATGGTTCTTCTTGTTTTCCACAGCTCAAGTCCGCTGAGCATTTGTTCCCAGCTCTCTCTCATATTGGTACCGCAGGTTTATTTCGAAGAGGCCAAGTTGATCACAGTTCCGTCAGAGACCGTGAGGCCTGTGGGCGTCCGGTATTACCGCGATGAAAGAACATCAAGATATTACAAGGAATTGAAATCCGTTGCTCCCGTCGAGGAGAACTTTTTCCCCCGATCGGAATAGCTGCGTGGCTCCATGGGCGGCGACGATGCACGGTAAACCGTATTCTCGGGCGACGACGGCTCTTCCACGAGGAGAAGGGGGCACGTCAGTCAGCTAGACACACTCTGTAGTTGGCTCGTTCTAAGCTGCTCCTATGGTTCAGGAATGGCCAGAATGGGGGGATCGTGCCTTGGAGCCGCGTTCGACTCTCCTGCCGGACCTGGAGATTCTTGTCAGGGCTCCGCGCCGAGGCGAGAAAGATATCGACAGCCTATCGGGGACTTCGTTTCATTCCTGCCGGAATTAGAGGACGAGCGGACTCTGAATCCGATCTTGGTTTTGACTATCCGAGAGTCTCTTTCGGGACAAGAGGCGATATGAATCACTCGCGAGCAGTCTGGGCGACTGGGAGTGGATCATCAATCATCAGGAAATATTATTTGGAGTCAGTGAGCACGTCACGGAGACATCTCCTGGTGTGCATGATGCTCATCATTGAACAACAGGACTATTCATATACATATATTAAACTCCTCGTCCTGTGGGGGCTCCTCCCCGACCTCGTTGACCACCTCGTCCACGGAAATCCCCGCGTCTTCCTCCACCTCGCCCTCCGCCTCTGTTGTTTATGTCTTCTTTGACCATTTCGATCACCTCGTCGGGTATCCGGGGAAAACGAATGGTGTTACACCTGACGTAGCACTCGGGAATCCGCCAGACTTTGTCTCCTTCCTGTTCAAGAGAGCATCGGTCAGGTCGGTGAGTGATGTCTTAGAACAGAGATCTGCAGGTGGTAAGTATTCCGATATGAAGTCTGCTCGAAGGACTAAAATGTGGTGGAAGCATACCCTTGACTTACAGATCACTTCTCCGAGGTTGATATTCATCCAATTGTCACAGCTGACTAGGTGACCGTTGTACGTTTCCCCATTCTTTAACTCCACCAGCTATGAGATAGCCTCATATCATTACGAGAAACTCGAACTCAAACATCCGAGCTCACTCCTCGGATCCTAGCCAACAGAACGAGGCGTAATGCCAGCTGGAGCTGGCAGCTAGAGCATCTTTTACGACTCCCGCAGAGGATTCCGTCGCTAATCGGACTCACTGAACAAATTCGGAACCTCCATTAAGGGTTCGGTTTTTTAAAAAGCCAGATTGACTCTCCATCGGATGATTCTGAGCGGTTTTCAGGGGCGACAAGGGGAGCTGTAGAAAAACGTAACACGTGACGTCAGCGATATTCGCCCGAAGAGCCGAAATGTAAGGGGGCTAAACGCTCAGTATCTCTATACGTAACGTCCGACAGACTCGTCCATACCATTTTCGCAGAGAGAGGGACTTTCCCCGGGAGATATCCCAACTCGCGGCTTGGGGGCCCTGTTTCACACTTCTGGTTTGAGCGCTGCGAGACCTCCTTCCCGCCGACGTCGTCTGTGAGGTCGTCTGTCGTGAAGTAGCAGTCATTGCAGTTGAATATGATGTGCTCCAGTCTCTCGGGCTACGGTCTCACTTATTGCAAGCCGTTTCTGGGTCAGTGGAAAAGAGTGACTTGTGGACACTAGTGGGTAGGAAGCCTGCTCTGGAAAGCGCCAGGAGGGCAGATCCCTTGCTCTTGTCGTAAATATTGTAGCGTTCTGATAACGAAGGTGGGGTTAGCAACGATGGTTTATTGTGAATGAGCACGAACCTCCGACGAAGTTCCCTTTCTCTTAGCGGAACACGGGGCGACCGCTTCCGTCTCGACACACTCTCGCAACTTTCGGATCCTTCCTGAGCGATTAAACCGTCTTGCCATCTTTGGCTGTCGGAACGGCGACACAGTCATGGATGACTCTAAGACCACGCTGCTTCTGCCAGGACTCCGACGAAGCTGACGAATGTGGCAATTCGTCACATAGCCCCTCACACAACGGCGAAGCCGTCTTCCAAGATCAAATCGTTCTCGCACGCGACGCTCCGTCACTCGAATTCGGGGGTGCTCTGGATTTCCCCTATCATGGCACGACATGACGACTTTCTCACTCAGAGAACCAGGGACGCACAAGCGTCCATCTCGATGAAGAAGATTCTCTTCGAGGGCATATTTCACCTCACCCGCAGCACGGACCGCGAGCGACCGGTGTGATGGGGCCAACGTGACCCATACTGTCGCATCCCCGACCAGTGGTCTACCTGCGAACCACGATGACAAAGTAAGGCCGTCAGGACGGAGGGCAGAGTTACGCGAGAGGCCCGTTGGCTCCAATCTGTTTGGAATTTTCGCGGATCACAAGGCGTTAGAGATGACGGCGTTCAAGGCTCTGTGACGCGAGTGACGGCCGCTACTGCGCGGACAACTCAGACAGTGTTCACCTGGAGCGGAGACTGGACCCGTACATCTCGCACAGGCATGTGGAGAGCGTAGAGGGAGTTCCAATCGGAGACCAGCAGCGATGCGGGGTTAGTTGTTTTCCAGCATCGTGCAGATCGGAGGGGATGGCATAAAGCCATTTACCACGGGTTGGGTGGAAAGAAGCCCTGAGTCTCGCTATGACTCTGTCATCGACGACGCCTCGAATTAGCTGAGAACGTCTTGATGATACGATGATACGGTCGAGGGAGCGCTGCGAGATTGCGTCCGGAAGGGTATTCCATCTAGACTGGAACCTCTGGGTCAAGAGGGCGATACGGGAGTCCAGATCAGTGGCTACGCTCGCTGGAGAGAAACTTGCGGCTAACGACCTGAGTTGGCTCAATGAGCCCAGGTGCGCACTAGAAGCCAAATCGTAGACTGAACGAACTCCCAAGCCACCATAGGCGATGGGAAGAGAAGACTGCAACCAGGGGCTGTCTGATGACACGTTGAGATTGAGAAGCGTGCATCAGCATAGGCGCAGCTTCAGGTCGGAATCTTGCAGAACCTCTCGGAAGGCGTCAGCGTCGCAACAACGTAACACGAATAGTAGTCGGGGGGCTGAGAGACTGCAGCGCATCAGGAATAAGGCTGGATGAGCGTCGAGGATCGGCAACCTTGAGCACCATAGATCTATGAGGAGCGACTTCCGGGAGAGCACGCGATGAATCGTAGCATCGTTCAAAGGCGCTCCGAAGAGCTCGAGCTCATCTTCGCCCAGAAGTCGAATGTTCGGCGAGGTGCGTCGGAGCGTCTGAAGGCAGACTGCGCGAGCATGAGCCGCATCAGACAGCACAGCAAGTTCGCATTTGCAGTCGTTGAGCTCTAAGCCGGAGACAGCGGCAAAGTCTCGGACTTTTTCGATGTCAGCCATGACAGAGTCGCATGAGCCCCCCAGCACGCCATCATCCAAAAACCATGGTCGGAATTCTGACTCCAGAGTAGAAACAAGCTGATGAAGCGCGATGCAAAACAGTGCAGGCCCACAAGGGTCACCCTGTTGAACACCGTTCTTTGATAGAATGATGTGCTCATTCCAAAATAGTTTTGTTGGAAGTCTGTATG